TTATAACTGTTAAAAGAGTTTTTGTTCTAGTGTTTATTAGAGCAACTTCTAAAGTAAGCTTCTGTCACCTCAAAAGCTTTCTAAGTGGGTTTTTTTATTAAAAACTTTAATAAAACTTGCATCTTTAGTTTACAACTTTTAAAAGCTTTTTGATGGCAGTATATAGTAGAAAACTTTCTACAGCAACTTTTTGTTTTCTCTAAAGGTTTTTAGTAGTATAGTAGCTATAAAATGCGTTAGTTAAAAGAGCTTTTACAACTTTTAAAAGCTCAGTATTTAGTATAAAACTTTCTAAAGTAAGTGTTTGCAAATTGTAAAGCTTTTTAAGAGATTTTTATTCAAAAACACTTTAGTAAATAGAGCTTTTTTGCTTTAGTATTAACTAGAACAACTTCTAACCTTATTTTTTTGTCAACATTAAAGCTTTTATGTTAAAACGCTTAAGTAACAAGAGTTTAATGTTTTGTTTACAATTGTTAAAAGCTCTTTTACTTTAATATTTACTAAAACAAGCTTTAGATTAAGTTTCTGTTAAAACAAAAACTTTTTTTAAGATTTTTCTTATTAAAAGCTTTAGTAATGAACTTGTAGTTGTTTTTAAAAGCTCTCTTCTTAAAGTTATAAAAGAAAGCTTGGCTTTGAATAAAGATTTACTAAAGCAACTTTTAAGAAAAGTTTTTGTTAAATCTAAAGCTTTTTTAAGATAATTTTCTTATCACAAACTCTAGTAAAGAGTTTGTACTTGTTTGTTTATAGCTTTAAAAAGCTGTACTGTTAAAGTAGTTAAAAAAAGCTTCACTTTTTTATGTGTTTTCTTAAGCATTTACTTCAACAACTTTTAATTAAAGTTTTTGCTAAATCTAAAGCTTTTTAAGAGATTTTTGTTAAAGAACACTGCTGTATAGATATTGTACAACTTTTAAAAGCTCTATTGCAGCAGTAGTTCATAGGAAAACACTTTTGCTTAAACATTTACTAAAATAACTTCTGTTATAAGTTTTTTTTCTCAAAACTAAAGCTTTTTATAACTTTAAAAAGCTCTAAGGCTTTAGTACTTAAAAAAGCTCTTATTTTATCATTTTTATTTATTTTTATAGAAAAGTACTTGAAATTTTGTTTGGTTTTTATTACTTTTGCATGATTTTTTTATTTAATAAATCAATTTAAACATCATTGTCATTGTTTCGGCGCAATAAACAAAACAATAATTTATTTTTTCCTTCTAAACAATTCCATAAAAAATTAAAGCCATAAACGTGTCCCAAATGACCTCTCATTGTCAAATGATTTTGAATCAAAATATTATACAAAAAAATCGTCATTATACTAAAGTGAATAAATACAAAAGCCTGTCTATAGCAAAAAAAAATTGTATAATTAATTTATGAAATTACAAAAAGCTAATTAATTTTTGTTTTATTAATAATTAATAATATTAATGGGCAAACAAAAGTAATAACAAGAAAATAAATTTAATTGAAATATTAAACAAATATAAGGGTAATTTGTTAAAAACAAACGAATAACTAAAAAAAGAGGATTAAAAATTTTGTTAAAAATTTAAAAATTATAAAAAATTTAAACTTTTGAACAAACTTTTAAAAAAAAATTGTTTGTTTCAAACCTAAAACCCAATTAAAAACCTCACACTTTTGACGTCAATGTTAAACTTTTTAAATCAATCTTAATGAAATTTATTACTTTTAAAGCTGTTATATATATTTTTTTTATAGAAAAAAAACCAAAATCAAAGAATCTTGTTAAACAGCTCTTAAATAACTAGGAGTATTAAAAAAAATATCACTTAAAATTATTATTGACGTCAACTAAACTAAAAACCAGTTCAACAAGTTTAAAGAATGTTTTTGTCAATAAACATTTCAGCTTAAAATTTAGTTTAATGAACTAAAAAGCAGTTAGTATTTTTACAAAAGAAAGATATGTTAAAAAAAAAAACTAATTTATCTGTTTAAGCAGATATTTGGGAAGGTCGTTTCTATAGTTTTTTTTTTTTCTATATTTTCTTTTATTGTTAAATTTTTTTCTGTTTTGTTATTTTAGTGTTAATTAATGCAAAAATTTTGTTAATTTTGTTTCTATTTGTTTTTGTGGGTTTTTTTGTTTATTTAGTTTTTTTTAACAGTTTGCTAATTGTTGTTGTTGTTTTATAGTTAATTTTATGCTCTGTTTTTAAATATTTTAAGTTTCTTTTTTTTATATGTCTTTTGTTATTTATTAATTTATTAATTAATTTTGTTTTTAAATTTTATGTAAACATTTAAATTGTTAGTTTTTTTTACGTTTTAAATAAATAAACTTGACTTTTAAAATGAACTCCTTTTGTTTAGTTTTTTAATAAAACTAGTTTTTTGTTACAAAGTTTTTTCTTTCATTTTTTTTAAATTTTTCTTTAAAATTAAACAAATTTTTTTATTAAAAACCCTTTAAATTAAGTGATTTAAGCTAAATATTACTTTAAAAAGTTCGTGTCTTAAGTCTT